GGAAAACTCCCCCCTTGTGCAGGATCCTGCTCCAGCAGAAGCACAGCTGGCACTGCAGGAGGGCTGAGCCCCCCTGGGATGGGGCTGAGCCACCTCCCTGACCCACAGGGGGACAGGGCTGCTCTGACTCTGGCAGTGGTTGCTTTGTATTACTGCAATTTTGTTTTACTTTTATTTTTTTCCCCAATAAAATTGTTACTCCTATTCCCATATCTTTGCCTGAGAGCCTCTTAATTTCAAATTTATAATAATTCAGAGGGAGGGGATTTACATTTTCCATTTCAGGGGATGTTCCTGCCTTCCTTAGCAGACACCTGGCTTTTAAACCCAGACACTGCCCCAGAAGTGTCATCTCTGTGTCACTGCCACTCTCCATGCCTTGGTACAGCAGCGGTCTGGGGGAATCTACTTGTGGCAGCAGCTCTCTGGCCACAGAGAGCAACAGGCAGAACCTTCCCAGGCATTGTCCTGGGGAAGGCTGTGAGAAGAACAGAGAAAAGAATGAGAAACAATTCTTATCCTCGGTTGGTGGATCTGCTGCTGTGAACATGTGGAATGTGTTTTGGCGATTTGTTGACCAAAGGGTGATTTCTTGATTGACCAATGGTGTTGGTGTTTGGATTCAAGGACCAATTATGAAAAATGGAACTGGGCTGTCTGTAAGGGCGATGGGTTTCTCAATAAGTACAGTGAAACAAAGAGATTGATGAGCCTTCTGGAACGATGGAGCCAATGCTAATTATTCCCCGGCCGGGGACGCGTGCTGCGACACCTGCTCCTGCAGCAGGCTTTAAGGGCACATCCCCCGGCAGAGGTTTGGGGGGCTGGCCCTGTGCCTTCCCCGGAGCCCCGGCGGTACCTCGGGTGCGGTAGGACACCACGGCCACGGTGAGGTGCACCTCCCCTGGGTACATCTCCGGCGACGAGCTGATGGAGTAGTAGCGGGGCTGCAGGAGGGGCAGCTGCGTCAGCAGCAGTGTGGAGGGCATCTGCACCGAGGGGAACTCCTCCAGCACCTCCACGATCGTGGGGTTCTTGGACCACTTCCACTCCTCGTACTCCTGCAAGCCCTGGCAAAGAGGGAGGGAGGAGAGAGCTGCAGGATCTGCCTTTTCCAGGTGCCTCAGGTGATATCCCAGGAGGTCCATGGCAAAGCTGAAGTGGCTGGCAGTTGTGAAAAATGCATATTATATGGCCCTATGTGGATAGTTACTATATTGATTAGTTGCGCTTTTGTAGTTAAAATTAAGACTTCGGTAGTTAAAAAAATTTTTTTTTTTAAGGCCCTTTTTTTTTTGGGGGGGAGGTTTTTTTTTTTTTTTTTTTTTAGGATGAGATACTCGCTTCGAGGAACACCTAAATCTTCCAAAGGAGAGGAATTTATGGCTTCTTATCAGAAGAAGCTAATTTCTTCAGGCCTTGCTCAGACTCGAAGATGCCAGGGGGTTAAAGGAAACAGTTGACATACAACAGAGAGAGTTTCTTGTTTAGAATATAATGTATGCATAACCATGAAGGTGTATGAATATGCAACAAGTGTATTGGTTTAAGGGTGATTCCTTTGTTCACAAGTTATGCTTTTTGTGACTTAGTGTCCAAGAGCATCCGGATGTCTGTAATTCTTTGCCTTTTATTGTCTTGTAATTGTCCTAACTCTAAGCTTTATTACTCTAATTTTATGATAATTTTTATAACCATTTTATTATTATCAAACTTTTCAAATTTTAAAAACTAAGTGATTGGTGTTTTTCACACAGTGAAGGCACTCTGAGCCCTGCTCAGGGGTGGAGACTCAGCCTAAGCACAGTGTGGGATGGAAATGCCCTGGCTGGGCTGTGATTGCCCCCAGGCCCTTGCAGAACGTGGGGTTTTGGTTCTCTACCTTGCTGAGGACCTGCAGACGTTTCTTCTCCTTGTCACTGGTGGCCAGCAGAGCGAACTGCTGCAGCAGCAGCGGGGTGGGAGGCGTGGTGATGTCCAGGTAGTACTTGAAGGCCTGGAAGATGGTGCAGGGTGGGACACGGTTCTCGTCTGTCCAGTTGCTGATGACACCTGCCAGGGGGGAATCCAGCACAAGCCTGGGATCAGCTGAGCAGCAGGGCCAAGGTGGGCAAATCCTGGTTTTCATCCCCCTCTGAGACACTGGATTAGGGTTTTCCATCTCCAGTTACACCATGCATGGCAGCAGGGAATCAGACTTATCCCTGAAATACGGTGTTGGGATGGCCCCTCCACATCCCTTAATTCTTCTTCCCAGTCCTGGATATTGCCCTTTCTAAGGGAATATAAACACCTTTAGTTTTTCCATGGAAAACCTTCCCCAGGGCCCTACCCTTGCTCCACATCCCAAGTGCAGATAAGCAATGGCTCTGGGCAGAGCAGGGATGAAGGAGGTGCTCCCAACCCAGGCACACCCAGCAGGGAGGTGAAAATAATTTTCCTGGGGCCACCCACCACCCTGAGGAGCTGCAGGGAAAGGAGGAGAGAGGCCACCTGTACTCCCTGGTTACCTAGAGCTGTGCTCCTCTCCTCCAGCAGCTCCACCTTCACCACCTGGTTGGTCGGAGGGGCATCCTCAAGCCTGTCTATGAGGGCATTGACCAAGTCCTCGTGGTTGCCTGGGAAGACGCCCAGGTGGTCCCCGGGCTGGTACTGCAGCTCCTGGTGCCCGTTGGTGTGCAGGCGCAGGAAAATCGTCAGGCGGCTGCCAAGGGGGAAGGAGGAAAAGCAGGGAAAAGTGGTTTGGGGGATCCTTCCCCAGAATCGCTGACTTTGGGGTGATCCTTGGGAAACCCCCAGAGATCCTTCAGGGAGTGGCTGTGCCCTGGCCTCAGAGCTGCTGGTGAGCTGGGCAGGGGTGGTGGCACGTCCAAGCTGTGGTGGCCGTGTCACCAAGGTCACAGCAGGGAGAAGGGACACTGCAGCACGCCCTGACTCACCCTCAGGGACTTTTTTTAAAAGGGAAAAAACCAATTTAACCTCTTGCTCAGCAATTTTATCCTTCCTTTGACGCCCCTCCAGCCAGCTCCCCATCCCATGGGCTGAGGGAGGGACCAGCAGGAATTTCACCATGCGTGGAGGCCAGGAGCACCCTCCACTGCCTTCCAGACTGACTCATGGCCTGCACAAAGGTGGCTTCCATGGACATCCAGGGCTCAGGGGCTGTTTGTAGCACTGTTTTGGGTGCCCCAGGTGTGCTTTCAGCTCCCAGGATGGCTGCATCTCCTACCTGGACTTGGGGCTCTGCAGGTTCTGGCGTGTGAGGAGCCGGGCTGCATAGACGCGCTTTTTGTGGATGCTGTACAGTCCTGAGGAGGAAAAGAGTCAGGGAAGGGATTCAGCAGAGCATGGCCAAGGCTTCTGTAGGATCACTGTGGGTTCAGCCCTTCAGACCAGAGCTGACCACAGGGGTTTGACCTCTCTCCTGCGAGCCCAAGGGATCAGAAACCCCAGGGGTAACCCAAGCACGTTTTTTTAGTGACAGAGAGGACTCCAAAGCCACCCCTACGACACTCAGGGCAGTGCCCTCACATTGCCCACAGCTCCTCTCGCTGCAGGTGCCACCTGGCTGGCAGGAGAGGATTTGGGAAGGGCTGAGCCGGTGCTGCAGGAGCTGCAGGAGCCGTGCTGAGGGGCCAGGTGTCCATGGGCCAGACCTGCCTTTGCTCCACAACGCTCCACGGAGCAGCATTGCACAAAATAAGCCTGGAAAGATCCCAAGGCTCCAGCTCCTCGCTTCAGAAAACGGGGTCAGGAGGAGGGAGAGCAGCTCATGTCCAAACATCTCTGTTACAGACACAGACAGGGACCTGCCAGAGGGGCCTGGGGCTGTTCCTTGGGCAGGGAATGGGGGGGAAAGGCAGGGCTGAAATGCTGGGAATTGAACAGAGACAAAAAAACAGGGTTTGGCCCCTTTGCCCCCGTGTCTTGTCCATGTGCCCCGCAGCCAGAGCCTCCAGGGCTGTACCTTGTGTGAGCTCCGGGGCCTCAGCCACGTAGGTCAGGCGGAACTTGCTCCTCTTCCAGCTGCGGTCGTTGCTGATCAGGGAGTTGTTGGCTTTCTCGATGTTGACATCATCCCCCACGCAGAACACGTCACACGCTGCCTGCAGCACGCACCAGGCCCTCAGGCACCCCCCGAGCCCAGCCACCCCCTCATCCCAACCCACACGGACACGGAGCCCCCAGCAGGGTGGGACTGTCCCAGTGGCCACCACATCAAGTGGTGCTCTCCTTCCCAGATATTTGGGATGATGCAGGAATTCAACCTTTGGGTGGTCAGCACAAACCAGAGCATCAGCTCCACCCTCTTTATTGCGGGCTAGAGTGGTGCTGGAATGTGCTGGGAGCTGGGTTGGGATCCAGCTCCAGCCTCTGTCCTTCTCCTCCCTGCAGGCCCAGGTTACCTTGAAGACCTTCTTGGCCCAGGTCCTGAAGGATTCCTCCTGGCCACAGAGCTCATCCCCTTCTCCCATGCGGAGGATCCTCTCTCCGCCCAGCTCCTCCAGGAGCGTGTCCACGGCGCGGGCGAAGGCGCAGAAGTGGGGGTAAGCCCGGGAGCCCAGCCCGAACACGGAGAACCTGTGCAAGGATGGCTCAGCTGTGGCTGCTCAGCTGGGAGGGACCCTGAGTGGGAAGGTCATCCCACCAGAAGATACCAGAGTTTACTAATGTGGCTCCCTAAATCGTGGGGCTCATGCCTCTCTCACACACACGAGGTGATGAGCAGTTTCCAACCCCAGTGACTCACCACAATGCAGCTGTTTTCACTTACTATATGAACAATTTATTCTGAGAATTCACTTGATGTGTGGCTTTGGTGAAAATTTGCAGTTTGTGCTGCACTAGAGACCACATGTCTGGGTAGCAAGTCAGCAAATGATAGGCCAAGTTGAAAAGCTTCATCCAGATACAGCTATTAAGTTTTAAAAATCGCAACTATTGATCTGAATTTTCTCAGTTCAGGGCCAGGTCTCATGGAAATATTACAGGAGCAAGGAGCTCTGGAGTTTGCCAGAGCACAGCTGGCCCCTCCTGTCCCACCACCACCCACAGCAGCCTGGAGGGGTCTGCACATCCCCAAAACTCCTCGGGGTGAGGTGGGAGCTGCGGGCTCTGTGCAGCACCAGCTCCTGCCCTGTCCCCTTTACCTGACGTTTGCCAGGGGCCCCGTGCTCTCGAAGTTGTCCCTGGAGTCAGGGCCATCACTGGAGGATTTCCTGGCATCCGAGTAGGAGGAGACGCTGTTGAACCGGACCTTGTAGCTCCTGTGAACAGCGACAGCATCCAGGGTCACACTGGGGTCACCTGCGTGCCTCTCGCCTGGCTTCGGGCTCACAGGGGTCCCAGTCGTGGGGGACGCCAAAGCAGAGCTCAGGGCTCACAGTTCCACGAGCAGGCTCTGTGGGAAGAGCAGAGGAATGTGCTCCCTCCGGGGGTAAAGCCAGAGCAACCCCTCTGCATCCCGGTCCTTGTCACCTCCCCCTGTGCTGGCCCAGCTGCTGGCTGCCACGTTGTCCCCAGTGATGCAGAGCTGCCAGGACCTTTGGCTTTACCTGTCCTTGCCCGGCAGCACACAAGGTCGGGGTGTGTCTGAAGAGACATTCTGAGGGTTGTTTCATTCATAGGAAGTGGGAAATGAAAAAAAAAAAACCAACCAAAACTGAGTGAGAGAAGAAGGGATGAAGAGGGGGAAGGGGAGCAGAGAAAAAAAAATAATCTGACAACAGCAGAAGTATTTCTGAATTGAGCCATCTCCCAAAATTGCTCTGCACAAGAGTTTCTAAATTTGCAGGCAGAGCAGCGAGCAGTGCTGCGTGCGTGAGTCACGGCACAGCTCCTGCACAGCGCGGCCCCGAGCCCGGTGACAGCCGGGTCACGGAGCCCCAGGGCCACCTCTGCTCCTCAGCCTCCCCTCTCCCCACACCTCCACGCCTTCCTGCCTGCTCCAGGCCACGCTGCTGGCCCTGGCCGTGTCCCCCTCGGGGTTATCCCGGGTTAGCTGGCCTCCCTCCCCAGGCTCCGAGATGCTCCAAGCTCATCCTGCAGTGTGGGGGATTTTCTGCAATCCCAACTCTGTTCGGGGCAGCAAAACCCTCTGGACTGGATGGACACAAAGGCCAAACTGCCCAGGTGGGTGCTGGGCCAAGGCTGGGCCAGCAGCTGGAGTGAGAAGGTCCTTGTGGTGTGGGGTGGATGGGCTGCATTGGAACAGCAGGCTTGGAATAGGAATGGCTTAGGAACGCTTTGGAAAACCCTTGGGAAACCCTTGCTGTAAGGGAAAGTTGGAATGGAAAACTGGGAATGGGGTTGGGAACTGGGAATGGGAACGGGATCTGGGAATGGGAAACTGGGAACGGGAAACTGGGAATGGAATACTGGAAATGGGGATGAGAATGGGAATGGGAACTGGGAATGGGAAACTGGGAATGGAATACTGGAAATGGGGATGAGAACTGGGGAATGGGGATGGGATCTGGGAATGAGAATGGGAATGGGAACTGGGAATGGGAAATTGGGAATGGAATATTGGGAATGGGGATGAGAACTGGGGAATGGGGATGGGATCTGGGGAATGGGGATGGGATCTGGGAATGAGAATGGGAATGGGAATCTGGGAATGGGAAACTGGGAATGGAATATTGGGAATGGGGATGGGAACTGGGGAATGGGGATGGGATCTGGGGAATGGGGATGGGATCTGGGAATGAGAATGGGAATGGGAATCTGGGAATGGGAAACTGGGAATGGGAAACTGGGATTGGAAAACTGGGAATGGAAAATTTGGATTGGAAAACTGGGAATGGGGTGGGGATGGCATCTGGAAACTGGGAATGAGAACTGGGAATGGGAAACTGGGAATGGAAACCTACGAATGGGGATGGGAACTGGGAACTGGGAATAGGAATGAGGAGTCAAATATCAAGCCCAGCACAGTCTCCCTGAGGGGATCCTGTGACATTGTCACACTGAGAGGCCACCCTGCCCTGAGGGGTCTCAGCATTCCCTGGGGGAGCTGGGACTCCATGGGGTGCATGGGCAGGAGCTGCTCTCTCCAGCTCTCTTTCACCAGGCTGACACTGTCCCTCTCCCCTCACAGCCTCCTCCAGGTCTCCTTTTCTCATTGCAAAAGGTTTTTGTGCTCTTGATGTTAGCAAGTCCTGGATATTGGTTGGGGCAATCCCAGAAAGAGAAGCTGTGGATGCCTGCATCCCTGGAAGTGTCCAAGGCCAGGCTGGATGGGGCTTGGAGCAGCTGGGACGGTGCAGCTTGTCCCTGCCTGGCTCTTAGAAACTCCTACCAGCCCTTAAATCACACTTGGAGGCGTCTGGGACAGCAAACACTGAGCTCAGGGGCTCTTAACCTCCTCACATCTGTGCCCAAGGAGATCTTTGGGGTGAGAACCACGTGTGGAACTCCCCTTTTCTCCATGCCCACCCCTCCGGGGCAGCCTGCACGTCCTGCTCTGGCACTGTCCCCACTGAGGCACGAGGCCACGAGGAACCCGGTGGGTTTTCAGCTGGGCAGCCCTGCAGGGATCCATCAGCTGGGCCAGCACGGGGGGCTGCAGCAGGGCCACTCTGGAGAGCCACAGGCTGGTCTCTGCCGTGTTTGTCACCGCCCTGGTGACACCGCCCGAGTCAGGGCGCTGGAATTGTCCTGGATCGCCTGCAGGGCTGGTCCCTCCTGAATTGAGGAGCAGCCCTGTGCCAATTGTTAGCTCAGGAGACATTCCACGGCACAGCAGTGACCCAGTTCAGGGAAATATTTTATTCTTTGCAGCTAAAATAAGAGGAGACCCCAAATTATCATTGTCATCGCCTTCCCTTCCTTTCCCTCCCGGGGATCTGCACAAAGCTCATCCTCCCCTGAAGGGGGATTTTCTACAATCCACATTCTGTCTCCAAGGTACCGGTTACAAACATCACAGGCTTATCACAGCTCTTATTTTCCCTAGAAATCTTTTCACACCATGCATGGAGCTAAATCTGGTTCTGCAGCCCTCCCCCACCTACATCTGCAAGGCTGGGAACTCCCTTCTACCTCCAACTCTTTCTATTTTGGTGCCTCCTGGACAGGCCCTGGCTCTCAGAATCGATGATTTTGGGGAAATGCCTACTATTTTTTTTTTTTTTTTCCACAGATTCCTGCCTCTTCAAGATGAAGAGAAGCTTTAAGTGTCACCCCAGGGAATTACAAGCTGGGATCCACAGGCACCCCTGACTCTGTGCTCTTGTCCTTCCTGGGACCTCCAGTGTCTCCATTCCCTGGGTCTCCAGGCAGGTCCCATTTCTGGATATTTGCAAAGGTGAGATCTGCCCGAGGATTTCCCACTCCCCTGTGAGAGGATGAAGGCAGGGAACCTGTCCTGCATGCTGCCGTTTGCACTGGGAGGGGAAAGGGTTGGTGTGGGAGGAAAGGGGATGGAGTGCTCTTACTTCCTCTCCTCCAGGTTGGAGTTGGGATTCTTCATCTCCATTAATGCACAGCCAAATTTCTACAGGAAAAGAGCAAAAACGGCCATCAGCTTTGTTAGGTTTTGCAGGAAACCAAGCCCTGAGCACAGCCTGGGCTGTGGCTCTGCTCCCTGCTCGCTGTTCCAGCTGTCCAGGGGACTGTCACCCTGTGTGTGACACTGCTGGTGGTCACACAGGACAAACAGAACAGGGTCAGTGGCTGTGTCATGGCAGGGAATCAGGAGACAGCCCTGCTCCAGAGCAGGCTGGAGCCTCCTACAGCACCTGGACCTGGTTTGGGTCCTTCCAGCTCGGGCTGAGCCAAACGAGGATGTTCCTGGCCCTGTGCCCTGCTGTCCCCTGCTGTCCCCTGCTGTCCCCTGCTGTCCCCTGCTGTCCTACCTCTCCATTCTCAGGTGGGTCCCCATTGCCGAAGGTGCTGGTGACCACCAGGACCATGGTCTCGTGCTCCAGGTGCACCACGTCGTACTCGTCCATGGACATCACCTGGGGGCACAGAGAGGTCACAGAGAGCTGGGAGCCTCCTGGGCTGCCTGGGGATGGGGACAGCACATCCCTGCTGGCATCTCTGCACGGGGAGGGTGGGACCTGTGGGAATCCAGGGCTTCCCTCTGGCTGCCCTGGCAGGTCTGGGACCCTGGCAGGGGTCAGAACCCCCCTGGACAGAGCCCCCAGAGACACTGGCTGTGATCTCTGTCCATGGAAAAGAGTTTTCAATCTTACAGCATGAATTACAAGCTCTGAGTGTTTGATAGAAGTAATAATTAAGTGTGGCATGGGTGCAAAAGTAAAATGTTAGGATTCTAGATGAGGGGTCCAAAGGGGACAAGATGGAGGAAATTGGGTGTGTCTTGTCCTTTTTCTCCTTCTTCATGCCCTCCATGTCTCACTGTGGTGTTGGCATTTTTCTGTTGGTTCAGGCTGGGGACACACTGTTCAACGTAGGTGACAGATATTGGCACGTTCTTGTCAATGCAGCCCAGGGAGTTTCTGGTATTGAATGTTTGTCACATCCCACTGAGGGCAGAGCCCCACACGCTGCCCTGCAGGACAGAGCTGGGCAGGGCAGCAGAACATGTGAGAGATAAACAGAATAAACAACCTGGGAACCAGCACAGGCCAATTGTGGCTTCTGCTTTGGCAGCGGGGCTGACAGACAGAGACTTTCCACAACCTCAGGATCATCAATAGCTCAGATTCTGACCAGACCAGGAGCTTGGAGGGACACGGGCAGCCCTGGAGCTGCCACCCGAGGGGCCACAGCTGCAGTCATTGCAGGAAATCAGGGATTTTTCTCCAGCCCAGACCCACAGGGACACACCCTGGGCAGCTGTTTCCCACGTGTCTCCTTGGAGCACCCATGACTTCACACCCCTCACGTGTCAGGAGCTGGGAGCTGGTGCAATACCTTGGCATCAAAGGCGTGTTTGAAGATCTCACACAGGGTTTTTGCATAGACCTGGGACTTGCCCGTTTCTGTGGCGTACAGGATGGTGGCCTTGACCCTCTTGGCCATGGCTTGGCCCATCAGCTTGGCCGAGAACTTCACAGCCCTGGGAAGCAGGAATAAATCCCAGTCAGAGCCTGCTCCTTACCTGTGCCTCTAGCCCAGACCTTTTTATTCCTTATTAAATGAGCAGCCTTACAAAGCTGTAGCATCAATATTTTGGTTGTCACATGGCAATCAAGGAAGCCTTGGAAGAGCTCGACTTGTCAGAGAGGAAGAGGAGATGGGGGAGCTTGAACAGAGCCAAAATAACCTGAATGGGGTGTAGGAGGACAATGCTAAACCAGGCATGGGGGTGGTATTTCTGCAGGGGCACAGAAGCAGGAGAAGAATCAGGGGCAGGGAAAAAGAAAAAGGGGAAAGGGAAAGGGAAAAAGGAGAAAGGGGAAAGGAGAAAGGAGAAAGGGGAAAAGG